CATCGCCTTCATACGTCTATTCAGGCGCTTAGTATCCCATAGGTACTTTAAGCGCTTACGCACTCGTGTGGCTCCGCGTTCATCGCATAGGGCCACGTTCTGCTTACGTAGCCGTCCCGCATTACCGTGGGACTTGGACTGCATAGTAGTTACGAATACGGTAGTGACTTCACACGCTCCTGTCATATATATACAGTCGCTACCATGAATATCATCTAAGTCTTCTCTCTACCTCGAACGACTACCATCGTCAGCAACCAGCTTAACCGCTATCAACTCAACCTTCAACACTAACTGCCCGGTGAGTCTGCGCTGTTATAGACTTCCATGCTATACTCGCGATTGTCCTTTGTCAGGTTATGAGCCCCGCGGGGCGCGGCGGAGCCTAGTACCTCAAGGTGGCTTAGTATGCCATGGGGGGGAGTCATTCGCAACGGTTCATCCGAAGCGTTTCCCCCTTCGCCCACTGGTTAACACCAGGGCGGCAGGAATCAAGGGGACACCCTCCTGTCATGTGCGAAGGGCCTTTCCCACATCCGTGAGAACCCATGCACCTTAACCGGTTCAGGTCTCGAGCGGCTCTGGAGGTCTAGACCGCTAGTCTACCGCGGACTCGCCTGGGCATGACATAATCCGTCTAGTGTACCCACGCTGACGTTGTCTTTACCCCAGATTCATCAACATGTCTACTTCTGGCAACCTCACGCTCTCCACGTCTGCTCAGATCTGCGGTATCTACAACGGTACCGACATCCTTTCCTGGCGTACCCGCATGGAAAACCATATCCGGGCCTCAGGGGCCGGATGGGCTCTGCGCAACACTCGCGCGGAGATGAAGACGTTGACTTCGGACTTCAAGGAGGTCAACCAATGGGAGACGCACAACGACACGGCGGTCGGCAAAATTCTCGAGGCGCTCAGCCACGATCAGCGCGAGATTGTTAAGGGCTTGGACGAGGCGCGTGCGATCCTCGACAAGCTCGCCGGCAGCGCGCAAGCGCGCGGTATCAGTACCGCGATCAACGAGCTAAAGGTAGCCCTCAACACCCAGATCCCTGCCGACACCGACCCCAACCCGGCGATGGCCAAGATCATTGCCTCCCTTGACCGATACACCTCCCTCGGCGGGAAGGTGCCTGGCGAGTTCGCCGGTGCCATCCTGTTCTCGAAGATCCCCAGCGGCTACGAAGCCGCCAAGCACGCCATCAACGCCACTCAGTACAAGAGTACGGCGGCGCAAGTCACCGCCGGCGCTGGGGCCACAGTCCCCATTTCTCTTGGTACTCTGACGAAGGAGCTCGTCATGACGCATATCCGCAGCGACTGGGAGCTACGCTCCGCATCGCAGAAGAAGAAGAAGTCGCCTCAGGTGAAGGAGGAGCAGGCCAACAAGGCCAGCTCCAGTACGAAGCAGTACAACGGCCAGTCGTCATCCGACGGCAAGAAGAAGCGTCCTTCCAAGAAGGAGCGCAAGGAGCACCAAGCGCAGCAGCAACAGCAGCAGCAACAGAAGCCGGCGGCCGCTAACGCGGCTTCGTCGTCGGCTCCTGCCAACGCGACGCCATCTCCGGCGCCGCAGAGTGCCGCACCCGCCGCTGCCAACTACTCGGCAACGTTTACAACGCCGGCTCCCATCTACCACGTCGCGCACGTCGCTTCCGGGCCGTCTGGCCCCTCATACTCTCCACCGGTATATTCCGCGCCGACCCCCGATCCGCGCAAGCGGTCCCACCAACCCGCGACGGCCTACCAAGGCCGCAGCAGCGCTCCGGCGCCCCCTCACGGAACCGCAGGCGCCCTCAAGCGCCAGCGGGACCAGGGCATTGCGCCCACGTTCGAGGGAACGCGCGCCGAGTTGCCTGCGTTCGCAGGGGAGACGCCGCTTATTCAGCGGCTCTCCATGGGCCCCTCAGCGTCCCCGCCTCTGTCGGCTCGTATCGAGCCGGTAGAGGAGCCTTCTCGTAAGCCGTCGGTTACCCCTCCGCGCGCTTCCGACTCTGACCATCATGTGTCTGGGTTAGGTCCTACCAAGCGCACCAAGTTCTCTGACTACAAAAAGCGTCAGAAGCTTGGTGACCGCCTTGCTGGCGGTGGTTCTTATGTCGACGACTCTGCGACCGGCCACAAGGGCTGGCTCAACGCGGAGGCGTACGCGGAGTACCAGCAACAGAAGGAGGACCTTCGCCGCTCCATGGCGCCCACCCCGGTCCAAGTCGCCGAGTACGGCTATGAGGACGACATTGAGGAGTTCGAGGGTATGTCGCTCAAGGAGCCGTCCGAACAGGGCGGAGAACGGGCGGTGTCACTCGATTGCGAGTTGATCTGGTGCGCAACCAGTTTTCTCGATGCCGCTGACAACGTATCTGGTGCTAAAACCTTTACAGGTGAACCATATGTAGTTGGTAGTCTATCATCATATGTATCTGCAGACGTTATGAATGGACAATGTGTACATTCAAGTTCTCAGTGGTGTGATATATGCATCGATAAGGCATTGGTCGTACGCGACACCGATCGTGAGAAATCTCTTCACGACAAGCTGCATGCATGCTATCCTATTGGATGGGTGCTTGACTCAGGTGCATCAACACACTTCACGTTCGAACTCTCGGATTTTTCCGAGTATGAGGAACTACCAGAGGAAGAGAAATTCACTGTCTCAACATCGTCCGGATCTATCCGGTGTGAGGGCTCAGGGACAGTTGTCCTTCGCCACGAAAATACGCAAGGGAAACCTTGCACGACCCGAATCTATCCCGTTTTCTACCTTCCTGGCGGAACCGTTCGTATGCTTTCGACGGGTCAATTCTGCCGCAACGGGAATATTCTGCACGGAGATGCCGACAAATTGGTGGTGCTCACTGCCAACAAGTCGAAGGAAGTGGTGCACGCCACAGTGTGCCCTGGGGGGAACCTTTTTTGGGTTCACACATCATTAGATCTGCACCAGGCTCATGTGACTGGTGTTGTCGGAATGAATCTACCCGACTTTCAGATCTGGCACCAACGTCTTGGGCATTGCTCGGACGAAGTGCTTCGCTACGCTCGGACACACGTCGAAGGAGTTCCTTCGAGTCTTAGCTTACCCTCGCCGACGATTCGTCGTCCGTGCGAGGGGTGCATGCTGGGCAAAAAACACCAGCTTCCGTTCCCACCAAACGAACATCGCAGCAACGAGTTCCTTGGATTAATCCATGCTGATCTCAAAGAGTTCGCAGTCGAGTCGTGGAATAAAAAATCATACGCACTTGTCCTCATGGATGACTGCACGTCCTACGCATGGGTCATGCTTCTCAGTCGGAAGAGCGAGGTCCAGCAAGCCGTAGAGACCTGGTTTAGCATGCTGCTGAATCAGTACCACAAAACGATTCGGATGTGGATGAGCGATGCAGGGGGAGAGTTTAAATCGCGAGCCTTTACCAAAAGTTTAGAATCGCGTGGCATTCGCATCCTCCAATCAACGCCGTATAACCATGAAACCAACGGCCGTGCGGAACGGATTATTCGCACCTTAGACGAAAAAGCTATGTCAATGCTGCATAACGCCAGTTTGCCGCCGTTCCTATGGAACTTCGCCATCGAG